TTACTATATTCCATAACACAGTTTATTTATCTATTCTAAATCCCTTCTTAAGCCTGGAACTACTGAGTGGGTCCAATGAACTTACTCTAGGTAAATAAACAAAATTATGACATAAGCACAATTACAAATAAATTAATGAATATTTCTCATTGTGTTTATTTATCTTCTTCCTCTTTGCGTTGCTGTATTGTATTAATTAAGTTCTGGATCCAGAGAAGTCACAAGTATATCTGATAGTTCCAGGGTTAAATTTATAACACAAATCGCTTCCCTATGTTGAAACCCAGTTCCAGTGATAACCGTACAACCCAAATGGTTTCCCTATTTTAAAACCCACTTTTTTACTCTAAAATCTAACTTTTTTTCCGTTTTAATGTACATCCAGTTTTTGTCTCTACTTGGCAACTCAAACTTGTTTCTCTATTCTTCAATCCAACTTATTTCTTTGCCATACAATAGGATTTGATTTTCTAACCTACAACTTAGTTTGTTTATATCTATTAACACATAACTTTTTAAGGTCTTCGTTGAAACACCTAAGCGAGACTTACAGCTGTACGTAGACGCAGGTTGTAGTGGCCTTCACGACACACATATGTTGAAGAAGAAGCCCGAATTTTCACCTAGGCGCTTTCCCCTAGGTGGCTGTAAACCAAAACTCTGGCGTGGTTCATGACGGTAGTTGGCCAGGGCTAGCGGGCGGTCCGGTTGGGGAGAGAGAAGGGGGTCAAGGGGCCCAAGAAGAGGGACACGGGCATGAGCCTAAATATTTCATAGAAAAGAATTCGCGATGGCTGTTACCCGTGTTCGACATTGGACGGTTCTTGTGAGTGAACTGGCTCATTGTGTGAGCCTGACGTTTTGACACAGCATGTGTGGGGTGAGGTCTGATGGTCTGTTGTCCCACAAAGAAAAACGACCTTTTGATGATTTTTTTTCTAGCGCTGTTTTAAAACAACATTAATAAAAACCACTACACTAAAGTCACGTATGTAAAGATGAGAATAGTTGTATCTCCTCTTGAATCGATGTGAAAGAAGAAAAGAAAGACTAAGTTATATATATAATTTCTTGGTGAATTAATTATATCAAATACCAGTGTTGTAAAATATTCTTATACTCTAAGGGTTAGTGAATTAAATTGTTAATGTTTAAAACCAGCTTCATGAAGGAAATGTGATCACAAATATTAAACACTGCATTACAATAATTAGAGCCAATGTAGCAAAAGAAGTATGTATTCGTTTAAATCATTGAAAAAGAAAACATAGATGCATTGTCGTAGAATAAAATGTGTACTATAATAGTTAAAGTATTGTGTTAAGAATGTATACATAATGTTAGTGGGCTACACACGCTACCGTTAAGTCATATGTTGATAATATATGTCAGCAACGTCCTAGAAGATTGTTTGTTTGTTTTGAATTTTCGCGCAAAGCTACACGTCCCTAATTTAGCAGTGTAAGACTAGAGGGAAGGCAGCTAGTCATCACCACCCACCGCCAACTCTTGGGCTACTCTTTTACCAACGAATAGTGGGATTGACCGTCACATGATAACGCCCCCACGGCTGAAAGGGCGAGCATGTTTGGTGTGACGGGGAATCGAACCCGCGACCCGCAGATTGCGAGTCGAACGCCCTAACCACCTGGCCATGAGTCCTAGAAGAATTTTGGCTTCGTTTGAGCAAACATCCCGGATGAACTCCTTTTTATACAGTACAGATATAAAAACGCTTGCAAATTTTGATAAAGCATAACGACCTAACGGATGTTTTTTACCATAGAAGTTTGAGTCTGCGTTAACCATAATCTGCGCTACTGCAATTAGCTTTATGACATCAAATTTCGATGCATAACTTTACTCGTGTGTTTATACACATCAAGCTTGGTACCATACCAGAGGCCTTTTAGTGTCATATTTAACCGTTATAAACGGATAAGTTAGAGCAAATACGCAGTTTATGTAGTAGAAGGTTAAGTCTAAGCTTCTCCCCTGTCTTCGCAATTTATGTAGCAGAAGATTAAGTCTAAGCTTCTCCCCCTGTCTTCGCAATTTATGTAGCAGAAGATTAAGTCTAAGCTTCTCCCCCTGTCTTCGCAATTTATGTAGCAGAAGGTTAAGTCTAAGCTTCTCCCCTGTCTTCGCAATTTATGTAGCAGAAGATTAAGTCTAAGCTTCTCCCCCTGTCTTCGCAATTTATGTAGAAGAAGATTCACCCCTTGACTTCACAATTAGACACACGGTTTAGCGTAACAAATTGTCATGAGAAAAGCTGGTGAGGCCGAAAAATAAGACTTTAGCAAATATTCACTTTTTAAAAAAGGTGAGAGGGAAAGATATTATAAAAAGCACACACACACACACATACGCACAACTACGAAATATACTTATTAAAACAGGAAGAATATTTTTCCACTCTTCCTTTATCTCGTTGCTATGGAATCCGTTGTTGATTTATGTGCGATGTTTGTAATTAGGGTTACAAAGCCACACAATGGGTTATCTGGGCTCTGCCCTCCGCGGTTATCACATCCCGATTTTTAGTGTTATAAGCCCTCAGACTTGCCACCGAGCCATTAGGAGGCACTTATTAATGACTATTATGTTTGTTTATACAAGTTAAAAATTTCTACAGTTTATTTCAAAAGGTTTACATATAAAAAAAATGCTTCAGTGATGCCACAGTATTTGAAAGTGTAACCTCTACCAATTCTAAAACAAAATGTGAGATTTAATTGGGTGAAGAAAAATATTCAATCATCACGAAGAAACAATCTCACAGAACTTTCTATTTATTTTTATTTTTCACCAGTCACGCTCTACAACGATATTCCAGCTAGGCACAATAGGGCCTCCTTATACTTATAACACATTAGTTAAACCTTGTATACACTTGTTGACAAAATCATAATTCCCATTTCATATTGCAAATCAGCATTGATTCAACTATAAAAATTATAGCAGATTCTGACTGTTTACGAGCAAAACTACTGGCCGGCTTTATTTTTATAGAAATGAGGTAAACAAACTTTGTTATTTTTTTCAAGAGTTATCAGCCTTGGGTCAACAACAACAAAACTTTTGAACAAATATTTTTTTTTTCAGAAAAAAATCCTGATTTCACAATGTGTATAAAATTCCATTAAAACTGAAGAACCATTATAGATTAATGACAAATAATAAAAACATTAGTTTTAAATACAGACACCTAAACCATATATAGTGAGCCAATAACAGAAACTAGCTATATACATAGTTGGTGTCTAAGATATACTGGCATTAGCTGATTGTTAAAATACGGATGTCAAAAGAAAATCACATTAGTGAGCTGATACAATCATTGTCTTTTTATGAAAAGAAGCCGTATAATTTAGGTTTTGGGTGAACTTGTATCATTAAACGTTTTTTATCAAAAGTATCCACCAAAAATTGTGTATTTTTGGAAAATGTTTTGACAAAAGTTTAACAAAGTATTTTCTGGAACCAGGTAATTCCAAATAGACGAAATGTAGAAACACACTTTAATGACAACAATAAAAAAAAAACCTTATAAGAACCCCTGATAAATTGTTTTAAACATATATATAGAACGTTATTCAAGTTACCAGTTGTATAAGACTGCGTCAGCAAAAACGTAAACATTGACAGTGGAATACTATACACTTTTGTGACTAATATGAACACCACTGAAAACGTTATTTTTCTCCGTTGGTAACTTAGAAAAAACTAAACGTTAAGTGACAAAATTTATTTGTTCTTAATGAATAACAAATACTTTTAAATAGCGCGCTAAATTAATATCTTAAAGACATTTTGAGTATTATAATCATATTTTAGAGCAAAAGGGAATGAACTAGCGAGACAGCCCCTGAGTTGGTATTGACAGTCTTTTGGATTAACAAGGCATATCAGTAATATAGTGGCGTAAGATGATCATGAAAACAGCTAGGATGGTAATTTAAGTTCAGTGAATATCTACAGCAGCTATACCTCGAATAGTAAAATTAGATTTTTTAACGCTACTTAGTAGTTCAATTCAATGGAAATATAATGTATTCTAAGAATTGTAGAATAGTTAAGCTAGCTAACTGGATAACTTCCATTACGTTTATCCATCCAAATTATTCAACTGTTAAAACAGGTACATACTTAGGTGTGTACTGGCTAAAAAGCCAAAGAGCATGTTAAAAAAGAATGCCCGATACTATTAATGCAGAGTTAACGCATTTTAAGCAACTGCTGTTATAGAAAATGTTGGAGCTTTTATTATTTTCCATTTAACAATCTGGTCAATAAATATTATACGAAACAGTAACTATACAGCTTGATATAACACAACTGACTTAAATAATAAACGCAAAAAAAAACAAAAAAACAAAACGATACACAATATAAACGTACTTGCAGACACAGTGTACAGTATATTCCTCATTGAAGTTACCCAGAGATATACGTATTAAAGTTTGACGATGTTCGAAATTTTGATTGAAAATATTTTTACGAAAGAACCCAACATCAGGGAGAGTGGGAATCTACTTAACAAGGACCCTTTCACGTCACATGCACCTTGAAAACATTTGTCCTGGGTCCATATTATGGGGCTTCTAAAAATAAAAGTAAAAGCAACTGATGATATCAGATGTAGCTCAATTTATTTAATGATATTAATATTCGTGAAAAAAGTCATTCCTACAGCTTACGTTGAACTTTTGAACTTAACTAAACAGTCATTTTATTACGTTTTCCAGGAAGTTGTAGAATATTCTTTTGGAAAATTATTAAAAATGATAGAAGATTTCGTTTTTTGAGAGAGTTTAATATGATGACAGATAAACACATATGTCATATCTTGCAAAATAATTATATTTGATTTTTCTTACAGCAATTCCTGAGGACCAGGATAATTTGAAAACATGCGACCAATACTTATTGGTGCCCTGAGCTATAGGCTTACCCCCCAAAAAAGTCTTAGATTTAGAAATAATAGAAAGTCCTACCTTCACCCCTTATCCTTCCCGGTATTCGAGCTGCGACTAGTTTCGGCGTGCCCTGTCTAGCTACAAATGAACCCCAACAATGACAACAGTCATGTCCATTAATTTACATCGTTCACAGTTACTGTTCGACATGACTGTTTTTAATCTACAGACTACATCTGAAGTTCACTATATACAAATCTGTCAGTTTCTGAGCAGAAGATCTCAGGTTTATTGGATTGCACGAGGCTTTATACACATTCACACACGCACACTAATGACAAACGAACTGATAGGCTAATAAAATCTTACACTGGCGCTCAGTACTGGCTGCGAATCCGTTGGTCAGTGAGCGGTCAGCGATTGTCCTACTGTGTGAATTGAATGGCTAGTTGAATGAGGAGTCGGAGAATGGAGCATGGGTGGACTGTGCGAGTGGTTATGGAGGTGAACCGGACTGCCACCATGGATACCACCATCTCTGTGCCCCATCAACATTTCAGTGTTACTGTTGGTAGAAACGGTCACCGAGCCAGTTTGGTTGGTTAGGTTGCTCGGACCCATGGATGTCACAGGAGGGGTCATTCTTTTCTCTTTCTGACGACGATTACAAAACCAGACTCGGACAACCTCTTTTTCTATTTGTAGACTGTCAGCAAGGGCGGAGATCTCTTGAGCCGAGGGTTTGGGCTGTTTGTGAAAGTGATTTTCTAACGCACTTTTCACAGACACCTCAATACTCGTTCGTTTTTTTCTTTTCCGTCCCTGGGCGGCGATTTTGTCAATGGACGTCGGTGATCCCGTAGTGCAGTCTGCCTCTTCCAACCACTTGGCTAGTAAAGGCTTTAACTTACACATATTCTTGAAGCTGAGCTGCAGAGCTTCGAACCTGCAGATTGTGGTCTGGCTGAAGACGTTACCGTAAAGCGTGCCGAGCGCCAGCCCAACGTCTGCCTGCGTAAAGCCTAGCTTGATCCGACGTTGTTTAAACTGTTTTGCAAAGCTTTCTAAATCGTCTGATGATGGTGGTGGTGTCTCGAGTAAACCAGATTCGTCACTGTCTGGGTGCATTCGGTGGTGTCCGTTGTCGTGGTGATGAAGTGGGTGGTGTAGCTGAGGGAACTGCTCTCCTGCGAGATGTTGTGGCACCTCCCTCATTGCCGGGTGGATCTGCACCCCGCCATGGGTCATCATCCCGTTCATGGAGTATGCTGGGTGTTGAAGGGGTGAGGAGCCGTTGGTCGATGGCGACATGTTAGCCATGTGCTGGCCCGCTAGAGAGGACGGGTGCCAGGGTGTCATATGCTGCGGCGGACGGTGGTGGGCCAAGGAACCATGGTGTAGCTCTGATCCTGAGTGATGCGGCGGTTTGATGTCCTGCGAATGCAGTCCATGGTGGTGCATGTTGGACGGCCAGCCCGAGGGGTCACTATGATGGGGTAGGCTAACCCATTGATGGTGAGACCCGAGAGCATGTCCGTTTGGACCCTGGTGCTGCGGTGGCATGTACTTCATTTCTGGAGGCTCCCTCGCGTAGCCGCCTTGGGAGCTAGCCACTTGCATTTCTCTGCTGCTGCTAAAGCCGTGTGTGTTCGTAAGAGGTTCCACGTTACTTGTGGCGTCGAATGGATTGGACGTACTGGTAGCCATGCTTCGAGAGACATGGGTCCTGCTGATCTGACTTGCAAAACCAGGCCCGTCCTATGCGTTCTGCATTGCTGACAAGTTGGCCTCGCTTTAGACCGCCAGCTCACCATCATGGCGCTGATAGATAGCTTTCTGTCTTTGGTGTTTATTGGCCAACGCTATGATGACGAAGGCGCAAAGGCGAGGCGTCACACAAAGCATTTAGGCTTGAAAGCCTATTGGTCGTGACGTCAATCGCGACGAAGCCATGCAGTGAAACATTGGAGTATCACGAGGTCCGCTTGTTCGAGTATGTGCCACCTTACCCAAGGGGACACGGGAGTCCCCAAGAGGTCGAGGTGTCGCCGTTGTCAAACCTCTAGACTCGGGGCGGAGTTATAGTAGGAGGCGGGAAATATCTTCAGTCATCAGAGCGATTGATGATACACTACTGTCGGGGTCCTTCCAGCCAAACAGCACATAAGAACACCGTTACCTGATAGCAGCACGCTTTTCTGACAGTGAGTGGACTATTTTGTTTCAGGATCCTAGTAGAAAAGTTTATTCCTCTATGTATGTAAGCTGAAATCCCAATCCCGATACTTTATATTCTGTTGATACATAATATTTCAATCTACATACAAGACCACACAGTCAATGCTGTTATATGTACCGTTAATTTGGAGCAATACAACCTAGAACTAATATAGAAAAGTAAAGACGTTCAATAACTCTTCCATGAAGTGAGAAATGCCAAAACTGAGAGGCATCCAATAACATACACTTTATTAAGACATGAAGCGAAGGAGAGACAAAAACATGAAACTTGATGTAAACAAATAAATGAGAAATTAAGACAGAAGAAAAGAAATAGCAATCTTTAAACTAAGAGATTAAAATAGAAGAAAAACTTCAAGAAACTTATTGTTAATATACACAGAAAAAAAGATAGAAATAAAATATGCGCAAAACTTTACGTTTTGAGCTTAAAAAATAGCAAGAGAGATAAACTTCTTTGAAATTAGAGTAAAAAATACAGAGGAATGTACAAATGTTCAACAGAACAGAAATTCTAACAATCTAACGCGCCCAGCGAACGTACAACGCTAGAAACCGGGTTTCGATACCCGTGGACAAAGCACAGATAACCCATTGTGTAGCTTTGTGCTTAACTTCAAACAAACTATAAACAATCTAACGATGCTGACACTAGAAAAACCTCAATGTTCCTAAAGTAAACCAATATAGTAACAATCTAATATTTCCACTAATGCTGTCGAAGTGTTTGTTTTTAATTATGCACAAAGCTACACAAGGGCTATTTGTGCTCTACCCACCACGGGTATCGAAACGCGGTTTCTAGCGTTGTAAGTCCGCAGACTGTGCTGTGCCACTGGGGGGCACTGTCGAAGTGAGCTAATAATATTAGTAATGGAATACTTTCGATAACTTTATTAAAATAAGCCAATAATATTAGTAATGGAATACTTTCGATAACTTTATTAAAATAAGCCAATAATATTAGTAATGTAATACTTTCGATAACTTTATTGAAATAAACCAATAATATTAGTAATGTAATACTTTCGATAACTTTATTAAAATAAGCCAATAATATTAGTAATGGAATACTTTCGATAACTTTATTAAAATAAGCCAATAATATTAGTAATGTAATACTTTCGATAACTTTATTGAAATAAACCAATAATATTAGTAATGTAATACTTTCGATAACTTTATTAAAATAAGCCAATAATATTAGTAATGTAACACCTCCGACAACGCTATCAAAGTAAGCCAATAGAAATACCATAATACCTCTGATAGCATTATTAAAAGGAGCCAATAATGATATCTCACATACCTTTAGTAAAGTTATCAAAGTGAGCTAATAATACCTTTCACAACGTTAACAAGATGAGCCCAAAATAATGTTTTTATGCATAACTCGACAAAGAAATCTATGCGAGCTAATAGAAATGTTCTATTGGTTATCCCTAAAACTAGGGATCTGAGTCAATGAGTTTTACTTGTAATTCCCCATAATAACTTAGCAAAAAATCAATAGAAATAAATGAGATGTTAAAAAAAAGATAATATTTTGAACAGTGTAAATTATGTTGAAAATACCAATTCAATTTGTTCAAGGAACGAAAAATAAATACAGTCTCTCGTGTCATTTCATGTTATGGTTCTTTGTACTCGGCTTCATAAATAGTTTTATCCTATGTTTGTTAACTTTATATATATATATCTTGTCAAAGACGTCAAAGTGTTGTTCACATTTAGTTTCTCTTGAAAGCGATACGCTTCGTACAACTTTATGTAAGATTTGGGATAATCAGTAGAATCGCATTTTGACTCACGTTCATGGTTCCACAGAAAGGTAGTAATATGTCTTTCCCTGAAAGAAACTTCTATATTATGTATATTGAGTTACTTGTACATAAACAGTACTTAGATCTATAAAGACTGGCTTTTGTAGCAAATGTACTTCGAAATTAAAATTGAGATGTAGTTAATTAGTTCTTAAGTTTAGGTATCTTCATTTTGATGTTTATGTCTTTACTTAATGGTTAAATGTTCTCTTTATGTAAATATGAGAAGTAGATTTTAAAAGGCTACGTGTAGCAAAACTAACCTCGTGCCTGTCGCTTGCTCGCGCAGTAATACTACATCCAAGTAACTGTTCCATGCACGGACGCCATCTATAGCGGCTTTTGTTACTAAAGTGGATTGCCTAAAAGTGTTCGAGCTGTATAATTGATCGTTACATAGTTTATATTTTCATGTGATGTCTCTAATATAGTAGCTAGAATGGTACAGTCGTATAAGATTCTGTAATGTCGAACGTAATTTCACTGCATCTGAATTGCAATAGGCAGTAAGCTATAGAAAAAGTACATACATATTTGTCAGATCTATAAATCTGGAATGTCTAGCATTATCAAGACCAAGCCTTCTAGTGAAGACTTTTTGGAGCAAAACCATTTCAACTTCGAATATTCTAGAATAATTTCTGGATTAGATGTAACAAATAGATTGTAATCCTCAACAATAAACTACACATGATCGGACACACAAGAAAAGAAATAAAATGTTTACTTTATTTTGATTAAACATATGTAAAAACATGCCCACACGTGAAAACAAAATGTGAAAGATTAAATCTCACAGAATTAGTGAATAGGTTCTTGTTCACGGTATTTGTGTTGCTGATTTTAACTAAGAAAGATCTGGATTCAGCTCATTTGAAGCTGTATGTGCTCTTTGTTTGTTTGGAACTGTCTATGTTCATTATTTATTTGGAGCTGTTTATGTTCATTATTTGTTTATAATTGTATACTTCTTGCCTGTTTGGAACTGTCTATGTTCATTATTTATTTGTAATTATATACTTCTTGCCTGTTTGGAACTGTCTATGTTCATTATTTATTTGGAGCTGCTTATGTTCATTATTTGTTTATAATTGTATACTTCTTGCCTGTTTGGAACTGTCTATGTTCATTATTTATTTGGAGCTGTTTATGCTCATTATTTGTTTATAATTGTATACTTCTTGCCTGTTTGGAACTGTCTATGTTCATTATTTATTTGGAGCTGTTTATGCTTATTATTTGTTTGGATCTGTCTGTTTTCTTTTGTCTTTTTGGAATTTTTTATGCATTTACTTCCTTTTTTAGTTTTTGCAACTGTTTCAGTTCCTTGTTTACTTGGTTTGATGTTCGTTGTTTGTTCATTTAGAGCTATCATTGTTTTTTGTTTGAGTGGAGCTTGTCTTTCTCTTTGTTTAGCGTTACCGCTGTTCCCTTGTTCCTCGTTTATTTGTTTGAAAATGTTAATATTATTTGTTTGTTCTGTATATGGAACCCTGAATATCATTCATCTACTTAAAAATGAGTACGTTGTTGTTTTTAGATATTATATTTTTTGTTATTAAGAATATGGAAACTAATTTCAGAGGGCATCAAATCCTAATGACTGTATTTTACATTTCAATGCTGAAATCTTCGAATGAATTATCTTATATCTTATTATCTCATATAACTAATAATTTCTACTTGCGAAACAACACGGTTAAAGTGTGTATTAATGTTTTTCCTTTTATTGGACAATGACAACGTCTTCTCAAATAGTATACTTCTGTGTACTAACAATTATGATGAATAACTAAGATACCTACCTGTATAGCATACACATGTATATCATTATCGTCTACACAGAACAACGACAAACGTGTATGTGGACGTGTAGTCGGGCAGAATGATCCCATGAAGACCAGCTTGGTTTTGATTGTAAATTATCAACGTGATGTGAGTTTTTAAAACACTAAGTTTGCTTATTTGGCAATTTAATCTCATTCACGAGCACGTATAAAGTTTCGTTCAAGTACTTCTTGTAACACCGGGTGCCTTGTATATAATGTTAACTAACAGATGTATCATGCCTCAAGTTATACTACGAACGTAACAAGTGTCTGGAGTTATCTAACACACATGCTATATGTCTAGAGTTATCTAACTGACGCACCTTGTTGGAGACTATCTAACAGACTCATCAAGACCTATCCGATAAACTTACTGTCACTTAATGAATTTACAGTGACTGTCATCTAATGAACTCATTCTCATTTAATCGAAATAAGGAAATTATCGAATAAATCTGTTGAAACTGGACCTGCCTACTGAACTTATCATGACTGAGATTAGGTATATAATGAATCTATCGTGATTGGATTTATCTATTAACCCCAACGTAACTGATTTTAGCTTTTGCGAACCCACTGTCAATGGACTTATACGAAGGGCGTTGTCTAAAAACTTATTACTATTGAAGTTATTTAATGAACCAGTCAGGACTGAAATTATCCAATGAGCCTACTGTGACAAATTCTATCTAGTAAACCCATTGTCAATGGACTTACTTAATGGACCGACTGGGACTGTAATTATTTACTGAATCTATCGACACTAGGGTTATCTATGACCTTATTCTGGCTAGCGTTATACGTCACTTGAACTATCCATTAAAGGTATTGTGACTGAAAGTTATATATAAACTTAATGGGAATAGAATTATCCAATGAAATTTGTTTGACTAAAGTCACACTTATTGTTACCGA